GTTGAAATATTCTCTGTAATATGGCAAAATATATTGTGTAGCAAAAAATTAAACTCAAGAGGACCACTTTAACTCTTTGCTACAATCCTAGAAAATGCAGCATTTTGGATAAAGGATATTGAAAGAGCATATTAATTTGAAAGGACGGTATATGCTAATTATTTTTATTGTTAAAAATCATTCTAGACATTTTTGAATATATATTTCAATATTTAGAGAATGAAGAGTGTAAGGTTCACAAGTGATTTATTTGTACCTTGAAATTATAAGTCATAAAGTATATTTTTTAGAAATGTTATTAGTACCTGATAAAATATGAAATATTAAGAGAAAATTATTGTTGTGATAGGCTTTAGATATTGTAGAAAATGAGGTAAAAATAAGAGGATAGAAGTAAGAGTAAATATGAAGCTTATATTGGGTGGGAAGAATCATATTTTATTTTATTTTTTATTTTTTTGGGGGGGGTTCCGGTCATGGGGCCTGAACTCTGGGCCTGGGCGCTGTCCCTCAGCTTGTCAGCTCAAGGCTAGCGCTCTACCACTTGTGCCACAGCGCCACTTCCAGCTTTTTTCTTTTTGCTTATGTGGTGCTGAGGAATCGAACCCAGGGCCTAAGGCATGCAAGGCAAGTGCTCTATCACTGAGCCAACTTCCCAGCCTAAAGAATCACATTTTGTAATGTCACTGTTATCAAAATTGGGTAGTGAGTCAATGAAAAATCCATCAAACTACCATATTTGCTTTGAAAAATTCTGAGATGGAGAAATCTAGGGAAGATAATGAAGATTATTGATTACTTCTGTTTCTCTGTAATGTATATATTCATGCCCCAAATTAAATGTGCACATTTCTCATAAAGTATGTGGTTTCTGAAGGAACTGCACCGATTATTACTCGTGGTATGTTAATTATGTGAGATAGATTTCCATTTTGATAATGGAAAATGATTTCATGAAAATAATGAAAAGTAAGAAAACTTATTATGATGACATGATCAGGACTCACATTGAATTGCATGCTTCATAGAATTTGTAACTTTGGTTTAGAAAGCAACAACACAGAACACTGGGTTAAGCTCAACAAATTAAGTTCTTTAGAGGAAGGACAGAGAAGCAAGGTAACTACTACACAACTGATGGTAATACCACTTCTTGCCAGATTTGGAGCAGTGTGTGAGGTGCCCAGATCATCAGTATGCCAACACAGAGAAAAACCTCTGCCTGCTGAAATCTGAGAGCTTCCTGGACTCTAGGGACCCTCTGGGGATGACTCTAGTCTGCTTAGCTCTCTGCCTCTCTGCGCTTACCACTGCTGTTATTGGGATTTTTACAAAGCACAACAACACTCCCATTGTGAAGGCCAACAACAGGGCTCTCAGCTACATCTTGCTCATCTCCCTCAACTGCTGCTTTCTTTGCTCCTTGCTCTTCATTGGACATCCCAACACAGCCACGTGTGTCCTCCAGCAGACCACATTTGGAGTTGTGTTCACTGTGGCTGTTTCCACTGTCTTGGCCAAAACCGTTACTGTGGTTCTGGCCTTCTCTGTCACTTCTTCAGGGAGAAGGATGCGGTGGTTGCTGGTGTCAGGAATGCCTAACTTCATCATTCCCATCTGTACGCTGATCCAGCTCATTCTGTCTGGAATCTGGTTGGGCACTTCTCCTCCATTTGTTGACACTGATGCACACTCAGAACATGGCCACATTATCATCCTGTGCAACATAGGCTCAGCCACTGCCTTCTATTGTGTCCTGGGATACCTGGGCTCCCTGGCCCTGGCAAGCTTCACTGTGGCATTCTTGGCCAGGAAACTGCCTGACACCTTCAATGAGGCCAAGTTCCTGACCTTCAGTATGTTGGTGTTCTGTAGTGTGTGGGTCACCTTCTTGCCTGTCTACCACAGCACCAAGGGGAAAACCATGGTGGCCGTGGAGGTCTTCTCCATCTTAGCCTCCAGTGCTGGCCTGTTAGGCTGCATCTTTGTCCCTAAGTGCTACATCATCTTGTTGAGGCCAGAGAGAAATTCTCTGCATGGAATACAGGGCAAAACACATTCTTGGAGAAAAAAACCTTCTTAATATTAAATATAGGTCCTTCTAAAATCACAGAGCCTCTGTAACACGTCTCTACTAATTTTCTCCTCAGATCCTAGTTTAGGTTTGGGAAAGTACTTTAAATCATAAAAGATTTTTTACTCATTCTCCTAGTTTTTTTTTTTTTTT